CCTTTTTAAAAGGCCGGCAGCACACCTGCAATGCCGTAGGTGTTGTGGGTGACCATGGGCGGCGGTAGTCACTTACCATCAGGTGAGCCGCATGCTCGTTTGCCCCCTGAGTTGTAAAAAAAAAAAAAAAACGAGCAAAAAATATATTGCTTCATAAAAACATTATTAACATTTGCCGTTTATTTATTTATATCTTTATTGAGCACAAAACCAGCGGCACAATAGGTATAACGTACTCTTTTATCTTTTATGTCTGTTTGTATACACATTACGCCGTTACCAATAATTGCTCGATTTCAATGGAATCAGTCTTTTATTTGCTTATACTAGGTCAATATATGATAGAATTTTTATCACAGGAAAATGTATAGCTCTTATTAGGGCTGCCATCCATCCGGAATTTCCCGGATTTGTCCGGAGTTTGAAGAGCGTCCGGGGGCCGGAGGCAGGAGTTTTTGAAAAGTGTCCGGGTTACACTCTTTTGTTGTCGGGGGGAAAGGGATTGTTGGTAATGGAGATTGAGAATCCCATTGCTAGCAATATATCCAACCAGGTCAACCTCCTCGCAGTTCCCCCTGGAAACTATCATGGTTAATTCCTGATGAACCATCATGATGGGCTAACTGGGCTGTTTTCATTCTCATCTATCACCCTTCACTGGTGCTCCGCCAGCGTATCCCGTTAGCGCAGGCGGAGTTACCACACCATTTTCACCCATCAGAAAAAAATCAATTTTTTTATAGATAGGCAATCAATTGAAATATATATTAGTATATATATTCATATATATATATATATATATATATATATATATATATATATATATATATATATTATGTTAAAAAATATTTTTTCTCTCTCTCTCTGGGGAAAAATCCATATTTCGCCGAAATGTCCGGGATTTTTGCCGTGTTTATTCGGTGTCGGCAATTTAGGTGATGGCAGCCCTAGTTCTTATTAATACTTAGTTATATCTATTTGTATTGTCATTTTAAATTCATATGTAAATAATTTTACAGACTTACATGTAAAATCGTTCACATAATTATTATGAGACATACTTGTTATATATATTTTTTTATACAACTTAGAATGGCAAACAAGCTGACGGCCCACCTAATGGAAAGTGGTTTTCCTAAAAGTAAATAAATAAATATTTCTACTATTACCTATATATATGTAACTTTGTAAAGATAGAAATCTGGTGTTCTTTCACGCAAACACGACTGAACCGATCTGAATGAAATTTAGAACATAGATAGATTGATTTTAACTTAAAACATAGGATACTTTAGAATGTACTACGTGAGCGAAGATTCAGGATAAGGCTAGGATTAAATCAATCGTTTTATGATTAATATAAAACTGTTGCTTGAACCCACTACATCACAGAGTAGGAAGGGCATTAAAAAATCTACGTTTAGGTATAGATTTATTTTAAAAGAGTTTTTAATTATAATTATTTATACCTTCATTAGATAAAAAACCCGAGTAAATTTTATAACCTTCCCTACGAGCCTAGGACTCATTTAGGTTTTCTTTTTTAATCAAAGTCCTAAGTAAATCTTAGTACATAGGTAGGTAGAGCTTTTTTCTAAATTTCACTGGTACTTTTTTAGTAATAAAATATTGACAGAATCATAAGGAGTTCAGAAGAAAAACTAAATATTATTCTTTGAGTAGAACATTTTAACTTTTGAGGTAGTCGAGATGAAAAAACCACCGTTTATTTATTTTTCGCTAATTGTAATCTGTGGTTGCGCTGTCAAGAGGCACAGCAGTGCTCTCGCCAAGACGAGCACGGCCGTATCTTTCTTTTCTCGAAATGCCTCACGGCATTTATAACATATTGGGTAAAAAATTCCATAAGTCACTATGAGAACACTTCAATGTGGATAAAGCCTGAAATTTGAATTTCTAGTGATCAAAAGCACATATTCGTATTATAACTAGCTAAATTTCCAATATACGAGTACCTGATAATTATACCTATAGTTTATGAAGTATCGTAGTCAAAGTTCATAATAATATTGTCATTGACACTCACCGATAATCAAAATTCTAAGTTGTTCCAACAATCTCACTAACTTCAAATTTAGAATTTTAGTTTACGTATAACCTTTATAGGAAGGAAAAAATGAAAAATAATTTCATTATTAATTTTTATTAAATGAAAAATAATGAATTTTTTTATTAATTACTTAAAATATCAAAATTTTAAAAAACTTCTAGCAATCTCAGATACTTCAAATTTTTATTTTTAGTTACCGTTTGGTCTGTAAAAGAAGGAAAAATGTTGCCGTGCTATTGCCAATCATTATAATTATTATAGAAATAAAGATGTTTGATATTAAAATCATAATTATCATAAATATTGACAGTTATCTGTTTAGATAATAATTTATAACAGAGTTTTTAAATAAGTACTTCCATAGACACTGAAATAACGGACTTGGTTTTATATGAGACTGAAAATTTTTATAGAACTGCGTGGCGAGACTTGGCATTTTTTTTACAATTTATCTTTTTGATAGAATTAATTTTAATAAAATAGCATTATGTGGCTATAGATATAACTAGTGCTAAAATAATATACATTTTTACAGTTATAGTATTCAAAATTAATTGTCAAAATTGATATAACATTGAAACAAAACGTATAAATGAAAATTTCCAGACAAATTTAACTTTCTTCTTTTTGGAAATAGTTTAAAAAGGACGTTTTGTTTTTCATACCAATTTGGTATATAGGTAAATATGTATTTATATAAATTTGTGTGCGTAAAAGGTCTAGCTTTTACTGGCGACTTCGTTCGCTTGACCAGGATATGTTTACTAGTTAGCAAACTAATAAAAAAAAAACGAATATAATATATATATATATATATATATATATATATATATATATTCTTTCTTTTTGGTTGGTGAAAATAGTATGGTAACCCCGCCTGCGCTGATGGGATACGTTGGCGGAGCACCAGTGAAGGGTGATAAATGAGAATGAAAACAGGTCAGTTAGCCCATCATGATGAATTCATCAGGAATTAACACTTAATAGTTTCCAGGGAGAACCGCGAGTAGGTCGACGTGGTTGGGTATATTGCTAGCAATGGGATTCTCAGTCTCCATTACTAACAATCCCTTTCCTTCCAATATAATATATATTAAATTTCATAGTGATTGGTTAAGCCGTTCACGCACTATAAACAAACAAACAAATACTTTCACATTTCTAATATTAGGAACGATAACAGCCATGAATCATGTTGATTTTACATAAAGTATGTGAAATGCGCTGGAACTATTTAAATGGCTTTTTTTCATCATCATCACTATGAGCTCAGATCTATCCATCACTGATTAATTATGAGCCTTCTTTTCACTGCACTATATCGTACTTATTCTAAGACTAAGGGAACTTTATAGTCAAGGAGTGGGCAGCAACATACTTCTTAAAACATCACCACAAGCTGCTGTTGTCAACCCGCCTGCTAAGCGTGGCAACTACTTAACAGCTAATATGATGATAAAAATATGATAAAATAAGTACAAAATATGATGCAAAAATGTACCATCGTTTTTTTTTTATTATAAATATAAATAAAAATATGTACTGAAAATGGAGGTCATATTCACAAAGGACGTGGCATACAGCTGAGTGGCACCGTTTTAGTAATTTATTCCTACTTTTTGTTTATTTTTTATATATAAACAAATTTTGTTAGTATTAAATACTTTGTTTTCGTTAATATTTAAAAGAAACATTGAATAAATATTTGTTTTTTTTTTTAAATAAAAATTAGGCAGAAATTCTAGGTACCAGAGTTACTGCCGGTAAATTATTGAAACTGTTCTACTTTACTGTTTCTATGCCATCTGTTCGACTCGAGTCGGGAGGGGGGGGGGGGATATGAAATCTCTACAAATACGATTGCAAACGGCGATGTGTCCATGTAAATCGCTAAGGAATGAATCAAATAAACATACGTAGATACAACTGCCGCACATATTAGGGCACATAAATGTTTATGTACCGCATTTTTGCATGTCTGCGTATATTTATAGCGGTGGGCGTCGGGCCGCGCGACCTTGTGCCCGAGACGCTCGTCGATAGACGTCTACTAAAAACCATGGTTTCACTTTTAACACCCATTATTGCACTGACTAATGTTTGTACATCGCTGCTCTTGTCAGTTGTGACTCTGTTCGATCACGTTTTAGCTCATCGATGGACAGTAAATTGCGTATTGAGGAACGAGAGTCGTCACGTGGTACAGTGGTGGCGGACAGCGCGCGCCACAGGCTCGCTCGCCAATTTCGCACACGATAAGTTCATCGACTCCTACAAGGATGCGTGAATGAACGGAAATTAACTGATGCGGCATTTGGCGGTTACAACAACCGACTTCCGATGTTTTTGCCTGTTCATTCCTAAAGCTAATAATTCATTATTATCTATGTGAAACGATTCGCAACGGATTTTTATACATAATTAAAAACAGTATTTATTGAAATCAGTTTTTTTGGCATTTTTATATAAATTTATTTTATTAATATTTGCCACGTAATTGTTGTTTTACCAGTATATTAATGAAGTAATGGTCTGTCTGTGCAATACAGATAAATATTTTACATATTAAGTACCTTTACATGTTTCATATGTACATGTACTATACTACTTTACATAAGTTATAAAATTACATAAATTATTCATTTATTCGAAAGTAAATTGATGCAATTTTATACTACTATGGTAGAAAACAAGTACATGATCCGTCTAATGGTAAACGGGGTTACCGTAACCTGTAGATGCCTGTAATATCTGGGATGCCTGTAAACCGCATGCGTTGTCACCCTTAAGAAACCTTAATACATCCTTTTTGAAAAACTCCTGCTGTAATCTTTAGGGAAGACCACAGCAGGAAAATCTTTCACAACCATTATATTCGTGAAAGGAAACTTCTCTGAAACTGTAGTGTATATGACTATTCTGTTTCTAGGGTGTGAAGATGGATTCTCTGCCGATGGCGAGCGGTGCGATAGTGAAAAGTGGTTGACAATTCGTTATACAGGCGGTAGAAAATGCAGACAGAAGTAGTCTCTCCTTAAATCAAGCAGCTGGATACATAACATATACAGATAATAAAGTTGAAATTTATCCGTATATTTTTTAATGTTATGTCTGTAATTCAAAAATTTACTTTGAGTTGAGTTAACTATGATGATAATGTTATTTCCTACTTTTTAATAAATCATGATTTGTTGAGAAAAAAATATTGACAATAATTTCATATTAGAACAACAATTATATATATATATATATAGCATATATATATATATATTCGTTAAGTATAATTGCTTTATGCAAATTTTTAATGAGAACTAATATTTATTAGTTTTTATATTTATTAGTCTACCCCACATCTCCATTCCCATATCTGGAAATATGTATTTTCTTATCGCTCTCTCACGTTTTGAACACAACGTGAATAAAGTCACGTTGTATTTGAAACGTCAAAGTTTTATGGTGTACTGTAATTATGTTAATAACTTCCTTAACTCATTAGGTAGAAAATATGCATATATCTACTATGAGATACTTAAGTAAAATAGTATTAATGATGTTTTATAATAATAAAATGGATATAAAACATGGGACCATTCACTAATAATAGAGTAATAATAAAGAACAAGGGAGGCAATGATAGTACATTTAAGTTTAAAAATGATTACATACACATTTGCAGGTTTTTTTTTATACAACGTAGAATGGCAAACAAGCCATCTGATGGAAAGTGGTAACCGTCGCCTATAGACATGAGCGGTGCCATGGACATAACAGAGTATACTGTTTTGCCCATGATACCCCCCGTGCGTTGCCATTCCTGAGGACTCAGATATTATTCCTCTGTATCCTGTAAATATAAGAAAATACCAATCTCTGTTAGAAAAGTGTTCAGAATATAATAACTAACATCAAATAACCATTGTCAATTACAATGATGATTACTTGGATATTCAATCTCGCATAACATCCAGACAAGAATATTTGTTTTAAAAAAATATTTTTCCAACATAAACACAAATGACAAATGAAATCAAGCCTACGTACAAACGCTACGTTCCACATTCCGAAGATTGTAAAATATTTTCAAGACATTAATTGAACGTATACGACATCATTAATTTACGTTGATCAACACAAATTTTAAGCGTAGTATCTACTTATTTTTTACTTTATTTCTCTCGCACTATAAATGAAAATAGAAAACGTTTATCTTAACAAGTATTATTTCGTAGCTATCAGAATTAAATTATAGATTTTGAGAAGATTAATTTAATCATTGCATTTATTTAAAAATAAACTTTATATGGATTTAAATTTCTTTTATTCACACAGCTTAAAAAACTCTTATGTGGAAAAAGTAATTAAAAATAGATTTTTTCTTATTATTACGACAATAACACCATATATCACCCCTTATTTTTTGCATAAAAATGTAGTAGGAAGCAACTAACTAACAAATTTTAAACATACATCAGTTATGTTTAAAATGCACATTATCTGCATTATAATAAAATATAACGTTAAGTTATAAGTATTATATTACATACAACAATTAAATTCTGTATCTGGTTTTACTTTTACAGTAAAGTAAGTACAGTTTTTGTATTGATTGGTAGCTCCAATACTTCTTTAAGGCTTCCTTCATTTTGTTCTGCTTCAAACATTTCTTCATCTGTCATAATTTGTAATTGAGTGTGTTGGATTATTGGACGTATCGATCTATTGAAGTGCCGGATTAGTAAGATTCTACTGTATACATATACAGTACGACAAGTGACCATACCGCCCTAAGCGCACACAGAGATAACATGGTTTGTGAATGCAATAAACATTAACTGGAAACATAATATTGTACTCTCAACGGGTGACTGCATTATGTCGGCTCACTAAGTCCTTTAAACACTAATTTACATTTTAACGTAGATTTTTTTATATAATCAAGAATTTCTTTGCAGTTATGTTACACACTAATGCTTTCAATGAATCCTTAGTTATACTTTTTTTTGACATTTTTTTTACAACACAGGGGGCAAACGAGCATGCGGCTCACCTGATGGTAAGTGACTACCGCCCATGATCACCCACAACACCAGTGGCATTGCAGGTATGCTGCCGGCCTTTTGAAAAGGAATATACTCTTTTCTTGAAGGTTATGTTGTCGTATCGGTTCGGAAATACTGCTGCTGGAAGTTGATTCCAAAGAATGGTTGTGCGTGGAAGAAAGTGCCTTGAAAAACGCACGGTGGAAGACCGCCACTCGTCAAGATGATTGGGATGAAACTTTAGTTTGTGGCGGGTTGTACGGTGGTAAAAATCAGTACGCATGTACGAGTATTACTATAAATTTATATTTGTATTTGATCTCATGCTTTGTGCACAAAAACAATTGTCCAACTATACCTATTTCATTTCCATTCCCCCGTCAATACGCATCCAAGTCTAACTTGCCACATCCAAATGTAACTTAAGTGAATTTACACGTCCACGGCGGTTTGTCACCCTCACATATAAAATCAATTGTGTTGTCGCTTTTGTGCACACATACGCAGAACCGCTGTGTACAGAAAAACCGCGTACAACAGTACGCGGCTGAATTTATTAGAAATAATGTATAAATAAAAACATGACTACGTACAGCGTTGATTCGTGCAAATTAAAGTACAGGTTCGATTCTGAATCGGGTGAATTTAGGAAATAAAAAAAAAAAATTGATTATTTTTTCTCTGTTACAGTTACAGATTCGTAACTTGTGATTTCTCCGCGCAATACTAAAGGGAGGCTTTTTAGTGTATCTGTGTCATCTATTCTTTATTCACCTTACTTGCTCACTCGCTATTGAAGCTGGAACAGTTTCGCTTCAATAACTTAAGATTGCGTTCAACAAAAAAAGCCGGCTTCAATCTTTTCAAAACCAGTTATTTCAATTTAAAAAGTATATTACTGAACAGATTTTGATAAATATCTAATAGAACTAATTTGTAAGCATATATTTTCAGATAAAGAAAAAAATTCCTAGATCGGTTTATAAATAACGGAGTTATGAGGTAATATAAAAAATAGTAATAAAAAAACAATTCTCATAAAGAAAGCAATAAAAAATATATATATATATAAAAAAAATACAACCGAACCTTCATCTTTTTGAAGTCCGTCGAAAAAGAAAAAGTTATCAATTTGACTGTATTTTATATCTTTTTCAATCCCCCACCAATTGACATGATTCATTTTGCAATCCACAAATATATTTTATTTACGCGTTTATTTCGTACCAATTTTGTACTTATTAGATTTTGTTGTGAAACAAAATCTTGAACAATACATATTAAATATAATATCTATTTACACACACACTCATTTTGGATGAAACTGTTACGTATACGTATTTTTTTTATTTATATATATATATATATATTTTTTGTGAAGTTTCTTTATTATAATTCTTAATCATTTATTTGACCCCTGTGTGGGTGTAATGTAGATATTTTTGCAAAATATAGCTTCTTTCTTACTTTCTTTCTATTTACATTTGTCAGGTATGACAACAGAAACAGTGTTTTTCGTATTAATAATATAATTCGGTTATTGTGGATTACAGAGATAAACGCCACTTATTATTTAGCTGTATCTGTTGTTTCTGTATCTTGTTACTCTGGACGTGTGCGTTTGAATAATTAATACACTCTTTGTATAGAATAATTAATATTTTTATAAAAATAAAAAAAAAAAAAACTAACGTTAACTACAAGACAACGCTTCCCGCGTTCGTTTTTAGAAATCTTGGGATTTATTACTCTGTGAACTCGCCATGTTGGGCTGACTGATCAGATTTTATCTTTATAGTATCATCCCCCATTGACACCCCGCCATTATATGCTCTGTCCCATTCGTGTTTCAACCGTGAAGCAGTTTTGTTTGCATGGCTGTGTTTCGGTTTGAAGGTTGGGATATGGCGTGAATTTACTGGGTACAGAGGAATAACACCTGAGTCCTCAGGAATGGCAACGCATGGGGGGTATCATGGGCAAAAAAGTATACTCTGTTATGTCTATGGTACTGCTCATGTCTATAGGCGACGGTTACCACTTTCCATCAGGTGGACCGTCAGCTTGTTTGCCATTCTAAGTTGTATAAAAAAAAAAGTGTTTAAAAAATATTTTTGTACAAAAAAGTCGGTTGTTAATACTACATCACCTATATTAAGAGGCCTTTTGTTTCGCGAACGATAAATCCAAATAAGAGTCCCACCAGATAAGAATGGCAAGGTCACAATCTCTTATCAAGTTTGCAGTTATTTTAAAATCTAATCAACGGACATACCAAAATATTATGAATATACTAAACTTTTAGCAATAAATTCTTTATATTTAAACCTTAGATTATGTAGATTGAATGTCTCCATACAAATGCTTCGAGAAAAGCGGGTCAAATTTTTCATATAATTTTACGCGATAAATAGTTATAAGTTGATTCCTTTATAATTTCTATGTTTATTATTATCTTTTGAATGCGTAATAACTATATTTATTTATTAAATAATTAATTATAGATACGTCAAGATAAATTGGGTGCGTAAGTATATAGAACACTGATAAAAAAGGAGTCAGCTAATTTGACAATTAGCTGACAAAAACTTGACCCGTTTTTGAGACTCGATGCTCTATCTATATAATCTAAGTAAATTGTAAATTGTCTTGTTTATTTCCTATATTGTATAATGCAAATAAAGTATACTCATTCATTCATTCATTCATTCTAAGATTTTACCCTATTTCAAAAAGGAAGTCTCTTTTTTTTGTATGTATCATACCATATCATCCATTTACTGTCCACTGTTGAACATAGAGCTCCCCCATAAGGGGAGTAGACCTTGGAAATGTTTTAAGGAACTCTGCTCCCTATCCTTCGCCCTCCCTTAGTCACCTCCTACGACAAACACGGAAGAGTAAGGGTTCTTTATTGAATGATAATGGATTAGTAACTCCGCCTGTGCTAACGGTATACCCTGACGGGGCACCAGTGAGGGATGATAGGTGAGGATGAGAAGGCAGGATGAAAATAGAAGGAAAGATAAACAGTGAGTTTAAAATTTGTAATTGTAAATAGTAAAACACTTTGTAATTTAATTAAACTTGACATAAATTATTATGATTGTAACGAAACGAGTAGAATTCAAAGAAATAGAGCCGGTTCGGT